GCCTGATTTACGGCTCTGCTGAAAACCGCTTCGCTCCCGCAGCATCAGCACCGGCGGCGGCAGGAGGAGCTGCAGCTGCAGCAACAAGTCTGGTGAGTGGCGCCCGCTGGGCATCTGCGCCCGCGGCCCGGCCCCGGGGTGGTAGGACTTAGCGCGGGCCAAGGGGCTGGCCGGGCCTGGCGGCGTGGGGGAAGGGACGGGTCCCCTCCCCGCAGCCCCACTGGGAGTTAGGAGAGCCAGCTTCTCGGCCCCCACCTGCGGGAACTCGGGTGCGCACATATCCACGCTAGCAGCCTCGGGCTAGCACGCAGTAGGGCAAGGTGGGGAGAGTTGGGGACCCCGAGGCCAGGGCATTGCCAGCCTGGCTTGCCCATGCAGATTAAATGAGAGCGTCTCCACCAGCCTTGTAGATTGGGTTTCCATTGGGCCCTTGAAAGCCTACATGACCCAGAATACTAGATTTTCCATTTCCCCATGCAAGAATGGTACCTTACCCCCCATTGCCTCTTAGAATCCGGACCTCCCCTTCTTTCATTTTGGCCCTGCGGTGGCCCAAGGTTTGCACCCCACCTTTAGAAAGCCTGTGGCTGTACAGCCCGGGGAAGCACAGAGAGGTGCCCCTCTCTGGGGCCCAGAGGCTGGAAGCTTTAACCTGGAAGCTTCGCCCGCTCAGCTGGCTGCCCGGAGACCGTTTACACCTCAGTTTATAATTGAGGACCCAGTAAAACGCTTTCCACTGAGATTCTCCCACTTCTTTGAGGGTGGGAGTGGGGCTGCAAATGCCTGTGATATTTAAGTGGAAACCATTCCTGGAGGCATTAGACCTGCACTCCCTGCAGAATTGGTTGGCTAGCAGTCATCTGTTGCTAGGGCTGAGATAATAAATTCCTACAAAGAAACACGAACTTCCTCTGAGCGAAAGAGTTATGCTGATATGCACCTGGTTCAAACAGTGGCCATCTGTAGAGGCTGTCATATTAAAACAGGAACAGATAGAAGACAAATGCTCCCAGAACACTGTATTATAATAAAATCTTGGCCATGGCCACTTATGCCAAATGATCTTTGATGCAGTAAGTCCCCAAATTGCATTAAAGCTAAAGCATGGGGGCCTATTACTGTCAAAGGTAACACATTGAATGCTGTCATCCCAGCGGTAATTAAAAGACATGAAAGGTAAAAATATCTCACGTTGAAATATTTTTTTTCAGTTTGCTTCATGCCTCTGTGCCTAAGTTACAATACAGGGAAGATCCCCAAATTGGCTCTCTTAGGACCTATTTTGACAATCCATGTGAGTTTTCCTCTTTTTTTTTTGCTATTCCTGTTGATCAGGGTGATTTCATTAAGATGGGGCACAGTTTGGTATTTAGTGTTCTGAATTCCGGAGGGCAGGATATGTGAATCCCATGTCTGGATCTGCCCCTGCCAGTGGATTACTGATTTCGCCTACCTGCTCCACTCTTTCTCCTCAGCAAGGGGCGAATGTCACCCACCTTTCCTGTCCTGAAGAGGTCAGATGCTAAATCTTTTGTGTCTCTGTGGGTCATAGAGTTTCTGTCGCCACTACTCCACACTGGCCTAACAATGCAAAAGCAGGCAACACGGAAACAAATGGATGTGGCTGGATTTAGGCCGCGGGCTGTAGGTTTTACTTGTGACATTGAGTTCATGTAAAAGTCATTCGAAGTCCAGAAGCCTCTGCTCTATGGGAGATAGGCAGCGGCAGTCATTTTGGTAGGAGTTTTTAAACAGGCCTATGAGCGGCATGCTTTTTGTCCCCCTCCCTCCCCAGGACTCCCAGAGTAATGCAGCAGAAGGCCTTTGAGGAAAGCAGATATCCCTGGCAGGAGTCCTTAGAGAATGTTGCTGTGTGCCTGCCATTCCGCTGCCCGAGGTGTGGAGACCACACCAGATTCAGGAGCCTGTCGTCCTTGAGGGCCCATCTGGAGTTCAGTCACAGCTACCAGGAAAGAACCCTGCTGACAAAATGCAGCCTCTTCACCTCCCTCAAAGACACAGACCTTGTCACTTCGGTGGAACCGCTGAAGCAGGTGAAGTTACAGAGCAGTGGCAGCGTGGTGAAGCAGAAGCCGAGCTATGTGAACCTGTATAGCATTTCCCATGACCACTCAAAGGACAGGAAGCCATTTGAGGTGGTGGCGGAGAGGCCTGTGTCCTATGTGCAGACCTATACTGCGATGGACCTGCGTGCAGACTCGCTGGACGGACCACGGTCGAGTCCTGGACTTCCCACCTCTGACACCAAAGCTGCTTTTGAGGCCCACGTCCGAGAAAAGTTCAACCGCATGGTGGAGGCTGTGGATAGGACCATTGAGAAGCGCATCGATAAACTCACCAAAGAGTTGGCTCAGAAAACTGCCGAGCTCTTGGAAGTCCGGGTGGCTTTTGTGCAGCTGACGCAGAAAAAGCAGGAAGTTCAGAGGCGAGAGCGGGCCCTGAATAGACAGGTGGACGTAGCGGTGGAGATGATCGCCTCGCTGAGGCAACGCCTGACGGAATCGGAAGAAGAGCTGCTTAGGAAAGAAGAGTAAGTGACACGGAGACAGGATGGTAGCCCTATTGCTGTAGGCATTCCTTCCCGCACGCACATCGCCAGTCTGTGTTAAGCAAGTTTTGGGGGTTTGGGTTTGGGTTTGGTCTGGTTTGGGGCACGTCTCCTTGTCTGCGTTCTTCATCGATAACGTTAAATCAAAGAACCACCAGGTTGTTCGTATTGCTAACCCTCTTGGTGCCTGGTCTTCGATCTACTGCTGAAAAACTCAGTCATTGAAAAGCCACTGGAGCACAGTTCTACTGTGACACAGGTTGCTCTGCGTGGAGTGGGCGGGATGGCAACTGGTGGTAGCCGTGCATGACCTGCACCCTGGCATCATGGCATCAGCACGTCGCGATCTTTCTCATCTTGGAATGCATACACTACAGATGTGTTTAGACAAAGGAGTTGGGCAGTCTGAGGGTACTGGAATCCAATCCTAGTACCAACTGGTGAGCAAGGGTGAATGGATTGGGAAGGCAGACAGGACAGGCAGACCGGTGAACTTTTCCTTCATTGACCATCTCCAGTTATAAACACCAGAACATGAGCTATTGTCTTATTCAAGTAAAAAAGTATGCACTAAATGTGAATAATTTAGACCTCTCTGCTATTTTGGAATATTTGCCCAAGTTAATTAAAAGTCAGTAACTAAGACTCGATTTGACTATGAATTATGAGTAGAGGAAGGAAACACTAGGAAGCCCAGAGGAAAGACCTTCAGGTATTCTTATATTTCTATAGCTTAAGTTTGAGAATTTTCTGCTTTTTATAAACTGTCTCTTAAGCCTTGCCTCCTTGCAAAGAGTTGGCGGTGGGTTTTACAAGTTACAGAAGCCATTGCTGTGAAAAGCATAACAACCAGGGAAGCGTTTTCTCATCAGTAAGCTTGGATTCATCCCAAACTAGAAAAATAGGAGAGGGTTTCAAAAAGTCTGTGGAAGAAATGGAACGAGAAGAGAATGTAATTTGTGCGTGAGCTTTCGAAGCTCCGGCACACATGCCACACTGTCATGCATTTCCCCAATACCGAGCATTGAATTTCCTTTTAAATAAAGGTGCAGACTTCATGAGGTCAAAGGACAAGAAAATTGATAGACTAAAGCATCCTAGCAGGTGGCTTTTGAAATAATTTTAAGTCTATTTTAGAGATTGATTTAATTTCATATTTTTCTAGCCCTTTGGCACTCTTGTACCTTGTGTTGGTTGTCTCTTGAAATGTAGTAATTAAAGCTTCTTCCATTTGGTTCGAGGATGAGAAGTACTATATTTTAAAGAGATCATCACTTGCTATCACTAAATGCTTACATTTTACCTACAGGGAAAGTCTGCTCTGCTCAGACTAGACATTTTTTAATTACATAGTTAGGATAGATTTGAATAAGCCAGTGATTTGCTTTGCTCCTAGGGAAATGATCTTTAATAAAAAATGTTTCTCTATTGGCCTTTAGTGCTCATTGGTAGAAAATTAGTGCCTTGATGCGCGTTGGTCACCGGGTCAACTAACCCAGTGCCACTGGAAAAATGGCAGAGGGGGTTGCCCTATGTACAGTATAAAGCCTAAAATTAATGTTTGCTTCAAGAGCAGTGAGCTTAAAAGACAGATTACTTTTTTTCCCCTTTACCTTATTAAATCATTTTGTTAGATGTTGAGTTGCTGACCACAAGGCTGGTGGTTCAAACCCACCAGCCATTCTGTGGAGGAAGGTGTGCCTCTGTCTGCTCCTGTGAACATGTAGTCTCAGAAAACCTGTGAGTTGGAATTGACTCAATGGCAGTGGGCTTTGTGTTAGTACTTTTAAGCGTCGTCATGAACTTGGGATTTAGCGGTAGTGGTTGCCAGGGTTTTGAATCGAATACATTGAGTAGGAGGACCACATCGTTAAAACTCTGAAAGCATTGCCTTTGAGCCAATTCCAACTCATAGAAACTCTACTGGACAAATTGAAGCCCTGGCCCCGCCCTCCTTGCATTTCTGAGACTTTGTATCTTCTCGGGAGCCCGCAGCCTCCTCCCTCTTCCTTGGAGCAGTTGGTGGGTTCAAACCGTGTTCGTTCCAGCTAGCAGCTCAGCATGTAGCCCACTACACCCCCAAGGGACAGATCTCATCGAGGTGCTTAGCTCTAGGTGCTTGCCAAGGTGCTTTTATTATTAGAAGTAACTGTTTACTGAAATAAAAGTCGGGGCCAGGCACAGACCCAGAATAATAAACCAAAGTCGTTTAACACAAAGCCACGGTCTGACACTCATACTCTGGAAACGACTGCTGTTTAGTTCGGTGACTGCCTCCCAGACATCCTTGTGCACATGAAATCATATGGAATTTAACACACATATAGAACTACTGTGATTTTTCCCAAATGAAATCATGACACGTACTATTCTGATATTTGTGTGTTGAGTGTATGACATATCGAAGGCCTCTTTCATGCACTAAATATAGAATTATGTCATTCCTTTTGACTTTTGCATAACATTCCCTGGCATCCTGTATGATGATTTATTTAACCGGTTTGCAATAGATGAATACTTAATTTTGTCCCATTTTCTACCGTTAAAAATAGTGCAGTTAGCGTCCTTGCACATCCTTTTTAAAAAGCACGTTTCTCAGTGCACAGTTCTGTGAATAAATCTGAGGGCAGATTATGAGTTGATTTTTCATATACCAATTTTTCGTTTAACAGAAAAAAATGGAGCTATTAAAAATGCTTTGAATAAAAGCAGAATGAAATGATTAACAAATTTAAATGTAAAATAAGCAGTCTTTTTTTTTTTTTAACCCAGCCTGTCCATTTCTTTATTCAAGCCACAAAGAATCACTTTTTCTGTACATAAAATGAGACTCAAAGAGTCTTGTTTGCAGGGAGGACACTGACGCTCTTGGTCTGAGAAAGCACCTGTGGACAGTAGCTCCAGTGTCTAACGCGTCCATCCCCATCTGAGTGAGGGTGCAGACAGTGCCAGCAGCCATCTGCCACTCTGCCAATAGCAGGGTTGCTTTGACTGAGCTGCTTAGCTGGGGCATGCCCTTTTTCTCTCACCTCTCATTGGGAGTCCTTCGAGCTGTGGCTTCCACCAAAGTGTCGACCTTCCCAGAAACAAGAGACCATGTTTGGCCAAGGGCAAATCAAAGCGCTGTTCTCCCTGCTACACCACTTGCCTTTCCGTTGATTTCCACCTCCTGATGACTCCATGTTTGCAGAGACCTGTGCTCTGTAGAATTTGCAAGGCTGGGGCTTTAGGAAATAAATCACCAGGCCATTCTCTTGAGGACCCTCCAGGAAGATTTGAATCGCCAGCCTTTCAGTGAATAGGCTGCGCATTAGCTCTTAGCACAACCCAGGGACTCTTCTCCCTTGCCAAACAGGTCCAGATGGGCTCTCTGAACTCATTTTTAGGAGCAAGTGGGTTGTGAAGGTCCTATTAGAGATTGACTTACGCTCTCTAAAATACCGAGGATTGTTTGGGTGAAATTAAAAAGTTGCATGCATCTAGTATTTTAACATTCCTATCAGAGTTTCTTGCTTACAAATCTTTTCTTCAACTTTAAGACCTTTTTTTTTCAAACTCAAACAACTCAAGGCTATCTGTCCCTAGGTTGCCTCTGCGAGGCCGAATCACCTCAGCTTGCATATGTACTATTGTAGACAAGGGGTTTTGCGTTGGTGATGTTTCATAGCGGTGAGCCTCCTTGTAGCTCAGTAGATAGGTGTTTATAGATGTGTGTCAGACATGCCCAAGAGTGAAGTTGTTCATCACCCTTACAAAGTCTGTAGCCTTAAAAGTTCAATGCAAGTGGGTATTTACTTATTCAAGAGCACGGAGAACTGATGGGTTGCCCTGCCCGTAATCAGGTAAATCAATCCCAGCCAGCCTTGTTGTCAGGTATCCCTTCACAAGAAAGGACATTCTTAGATTGTAGCAGAGCTCCTGAAATTTGGAGAGCTTCCGAGTGATAATAACCCTCAATTTACTTAACCGCTTGTCCTCTGATGAGGAGGGGAAAGTCCTGAGAATATCTGTGATGTGCCGGGCACTGTGCTTAGATTGGGTAGATGAGTGATGGCAGGGCTGGACAATTCTCGGTGATTTTCTTCCAGGAGTGTATGCTCTGTGTTGATGTTAGATGCTGCTGGGTTGCTTCTGACCACATTGACCCCATGCATCTCAGAAGGCAACACTGCCTGGTCCTGCACAAGCCTCCCAACTGTGCTATGTTTGAGCCGTTGTTTAACTGTTCAATCAGCTCATCTCATTAAGAGTCTCCCTCCTTTCTGACGACCTTCTCCTTTACTAATCAGGTTCCTCTTTGCCAGGAACCGCTTCCTCCCAAGTTCAGAGTCTATGAGACTCAGAGTCTTGTCGTCTTCACTTCTCAGGAACATTTGGGCTGTGCTTCTTCCACTACAGATCTACTTGTTCTTCTTACAGTGCATGGTATAGATGGATTCATTTAATTTATATAATGTTAATCATTTTATTGGGGGCTCATACAACTCTTAACACAATCCATACATTGATTGAATCAGGCGTGTTTGTACGTATGTTGCCTTCATTCTTTTCTAGACATTTACTTTCTATTGAACCCTTGGTATCAGCTCCTCTCCCCCCACTCCTCATGACCCCTGATAGATTGTGCATTGTTATTTTTTTCATCTCTCACAACGACCGCTGTCTTCTTTCCCCCAGGTTTTCTGTTCGCTGTCTCCTTTCCCCCAGGTTTTCTGTTGTTCTTCCCCTTGTAGAGGGGTGTTGATCATTGTGATCATTGTGATTGGTTCCCCCTTTCTCTCTTCATCTCCTTCTCTTTCCCCCTACCCTTCTGGTATCACTATTCCCACTCCTGTTCCTGGATTCTGTGTGTCTTGAACTCCCATCTCTTATCTATACCTGAGTACATGTTCCGGTCCAGTCTGAATTGAGAAGCAGCAGTGGAGTCACGGTAGTGGGGGCTGAGGAAGCCTCAAGGAACCAGAGGAATGTATTTCATCAAT